GTGCTGTGGTCTGACTTCTAGCTTTTTGGTAGTTAATTGGAGATAAGAGTCTCATGAACTTTACTGCCCTGGCTGGCTTTGGACCATAATCCTCAGATCTCAGCCTCCCAAGTCATTAGGATTAAAGGCACGAGCCACCAGCTCCTGGTTTAGTGTCTTAAAAGATACCTGCAATTGTCACTAAGATCAATACTGGCAGAAGGAACTAACTGGAGGGAGGAAGGTCACAGACAGCTTTGCAGCTATGAGGCTATTCAAACAATTCTAAGATTAGTCTTAAAGAATACTGGGTTTGATAGTGGTTATCTTTGATACAGTCTTAGAGTCTGGTAATTTGAAGTGACATACAATCATGTATAGAGCACTGTTGAACCATGCTTGGAATTTAGGTTCTAAAGCCAACACATATGGCAAAACTTAAGTATAGAAAAAATCCCACTAAAATTTCTCAGATCACCCATATAGTACAGATTACATGGTTTTATGTATTCTGTGCCATCTCAGAGAATCCAACACAGCCAGCTCTCCCTCCAGAGTTAGAACAGATGGCCATGGCTGTTTCTTTGGTTGAGTACCAGATGAGAGTGGTTGGCTTGAATTGAAGGGCCATATTGTGTGTAGGGGGATGGAATGATAAAGATGTATATATTCATCTGTATTATTTTCTTTGGATGAATATATAGTTGAATTCAAGCAACTTAATATTTGTGTACTGTAACTCCATTGTAACATTTGGTACAATAAATGTTTCTAGATCCCTCTACATGTTCATGTTAGATGCAAGGCCTCCAAAGTGAAGAAGGTGGAAAATACCCTGTGGGGCCATGGAAATCCTTGGCAGGACCAAGAAAGAGAATAATAATTTTCCATAAAACATTTTTAAAGGCTTTGGTTTCAATTGCATACAGGCTCTAAATCCCTACAAAAAATAAAAACCTGTAGGGAGGATCAGCTCAGTGTTAAGTACTGAGAGCTTTGTCTGCTTTGTCTTCTTGAGCTGTCTCATAGCAACCTTTGAAGAGGGTGTTATAAACCCCAGGTCCCCTGTGTGCCAACCAGGCACACAGGCTTGGCCCATTGCCTGAAAGAAACACACTTAGCCAGAGTCAGTGATGGAGTCTTTGAGCCTGGGGTGTGGTACATGCATTCCTGTCCTCTTCCCTTGGGTTTTCTTTCAGTTCACACCAAATCTGAAAACCTATTCCCTCACCCCACAAAGAAGTAGCTTATTTATCTCTAAAGAAAATATAAGAGCAAGTCAACCTATTCCAAGAGTTCTGTATGGTGATTTCACTTTATTGCTAGATTTAGAAAAGTTTAAATTCCATCTTAGTTTGAAGTACTTTATGAATTACTTACAAACCCTCTCAGGTAAAAGGCAGAAGGAATCACGGCCACTTCATATGTTGCTCTTCTGAATATGTTTTCTACTTAGCACCTTAGTTTCTAAGTTGAATAAGTTCTTTGCTCCAACCAGTTCTCTATAAGAGGGCTTCTAACACAGCACCATTGGTTCAGACAGGCCTCAGCTGAATGTTTAAATAGATTAGCTTCCTGTCTATTCACTAGACTATATCTTCATCACTTTTATATTGCCTCATGTTATCTTTAGGGATCACATTTTCCCACATTTTCCAAGTTGCCAATATGTATACCTTTGCCACATTCCCTTCTTTGTTTTCCATCTCTTCATCCTCAGGAACCTGGCTTTCTCTATCATTGGCCATTATAATCAAACCGGAAATGAAGGACTCTGGACATGTTAAAAATGGAGAAGGAGCAGAGAAGAATGGAGCACAGAGAGAAGCAGGCAGGGGAGTTTAAGTAGCTTTACCCGTGGGACCCATCTAGTAATTAGCAGAACTGGGAGTTGAACCTGAATCAGTAAGGCTCCAAGACACTAAATGTTTCCATTATATCACACTACTCACCACAAAAGCAGAAAACTCTCATGCAATGAAAGTATTGGGCAACAATGTGAGCAGACTCTGTGTGGATAAATATATTTACAAGTATGACCTTAGAAAAAGGGGCAGACCAGGGGAAGGCCATATGAATGGCAAATGTTTACTCATATGTGGGACCACCGTACGATGATTTGAAGGAGATAGGACATCTGAAAAGATGGCCTTCAAATGAACTATGGTCTCACAGAAGGTAAACTTTATTCATTGTAGGCAAGGAACCTAGAAACTGAAGGCATACACTCACACTGGACAACCAAGGAACGTTTAAGGGGCTAGTCTACCTATAAAGATGTTGGTGAGTTTTAGGGAATTGGAAAAGAATACTTCAGTGTCCTGGGCTAGCAACAGCAGCATAACCCCAATGCGGGACAAGGAGAAGGGGGCAGAATGTAGCTTCATGAAGAAGGGATCTATTTCTTTCCCAGGTGATGTGACCTTCAATAGAGAAAAGTGTCCTACTCATGCTAACCTATCAGGGAGGGGCCCAGATTTATAAATACTTCAGTGTCAGTCTTTCCACTCTGCTTCCCATTAACTAAACAGAAACTGGAGGGCAAGCTTGGGTTCCAAAGACCAGCCTCCTTGGCACAGTGAGGAATGAACAAAGGCAAAGACTGAACCTGAAAGGGTGAATAGTGTGCAAGGTAGTTTTGGCACACTATTAAAGAGTATTGCAGAGGTTGCAAATCACAAGAGTATTCCTGAAAATCATTGCATAGATATCCTGCTCTGTAGTATCACTTTTTGGTTTCATCTTTTTTTCCTACTAGGTTAGATTCAAATAAGAGCGGCCCGAGTTAGATATTGCAATAGACTGGCTTTCTGACTCACCCAAAGTGAAAGGCAGGTGAGTTAAGCAGACTAAATTCAATTGCACATTTCAATTGCATAAGCAATGTTTTGCTCAATTCTTTCTCAGTTATGTAAGTTTATTCCACTCACTCACATTTTTCTCCATGCCCTTTTCCATCATTTTTTAATGTCTTCCTTTCTCCATTTTTACTCTCTCTTTTCTTCCAATAAAAAGGGCCACTTGGCTCACGCCTCCACCAACAGACGCTTGGAAATAATGCATTGTGGCAGCCTTTCAAGGATTTTTTTTTTCTCTTTCCTCCCTCCAGAGAAAACAACAAAAGGGTAAAGATGGCTGGAGGGACTGGATTGGAACATTGTTTTGCTGGAATTTGCAGCTGTTTCTGGATTGTAGCATTCGCTGGAGGGAAACAATGTGTTTAGGGACTGAAGGAAACTCTTTGGCTCCAATGTGTCCCAAGTCATCTGAAGAGGAATGTTTTTTTTTTCATTGTTAGAAAGTTTGATGCTCACCAGGGATGTGTTTTCCATCTCTCTATACAAAGTGTATGTTTAGAGGGAGAGGCACAGAAAATTCACACAGGATGGGCGCAAAAGAAGGCAAAGGTAAAATGCTGGTGAAAGGCAAAGGCTAAAAGGGAACTGACCTTTGGTCAGAACCCAGAGCAGTCCTCTGGATTCTGGCCGAGGCAGTACAACCCATGGAAGGTTCACCCTTTATTGCTAAGAGTCTGAGGACAGAGTGAACCAATAAGATTTCTATTTGCCCTGGCAGGCAAAATAAAGATGGGGTGGACCTAGCTAATGAATGAACAAGAGACAAAGGCCTCTCATTCAGTGTGAAGTCTAAGTTTAAGGGCTTGAACATGGGTGGCTCTGTGTCTATATACTCGGAACTCTACACACCTTTTGCATTCCTAAGTGTGTGTTCCTGGCTGTGTTTGCAGAGCACCTAGAGCTGTGGGTTTTCCTTCCAGGGCCTCTCCCTGTTGTTCTGGGTCTGTCATCGCTATGGAAGGAGTCAGTAGAACACTCCACAGTGAGACAGAGTTCCAGCTAGCAGGCAGCTCTGGTTACTGTCTCTCCTACTCACTCATTCCAACTTCTCTTGGGAGACATTACAATTAACTTTTTCTTTTCTTTTTCTTTGGTCATGGGGCTTGAACTCAGGGACCCTGTCCCTGAGCTTTCACTCAAGACTAGCACTCTACCACTTTGAGCCACAGTACCACTTCTGGTTTTCTGGAGGTTAATTGGAGATAAGAGTCTCATAGACATTCCTGCCTGAGCTGACATCTAATCACCATCCTCAGTCCCCCCACTTTCTCTCTCTCGTTATTCTGGATACCCGAAGAGCCCAAGCCTCACATCTGCATATGGGTCTATCTGCATATGGGTCTTGAGAATCACTACACAGTCAAATATTCAACTTAAGTTTGTGATTTTTTGAACCAAACGTCACAGATTGCCAACATTTTAGCAAAAACAAACAACTTCCTAAAGAAGACTGGAATTTGTTTACCTGCCTGGTTTGGGTTTTGTAACTTGAGAAGTGAAAAGGAATTAGGGTAAAGAAGGAAGTCTGCAAAGAAGGGAAGATGAGCAAAGTGCCCCACGATCACTCTCTGATCTGGTTTGAATCCTTATGGCTAAGTGCTCAACAGCAAAACTTTGATACCATTGTTTAAAGAGAGATTTTGTGAGATTCTGACACCTAGAGAACTGCTTTTTTTTTTTTTTTTTGGTCGGTCGTGGGGATTGAACTCTGGGCTTAGGTGCTATCCCTGCACTCTTCAGCTCAAGGTGAGTGCTCTACAGCTTGAGCCACAGCACCACTGCCGGTTTTCGAGTGGTTTATTGGAGATAAGAGTCTCACGGACTTTTCTGCCTGGGCTGGCTTTGAACTGTGATCCTCAGATCTCAGCCCCTGAGTAGCTAGGATTATAGGCGTGAGCCACCTGCACCCGGCTTAGAGAACTGCTTTAGGAAGAATTGCTTCATGACTTTAAAAGGTCCTCAGTACTTTTGCCTGCTTGAACTTCTTTCTCCATAAAATAAAAAAAGTAAAAAATTACATTGGATGATAATATTGGTATAAAGGTGAATATACTAATAGCACATATTGGCTTAGTCTGCTTTCTGGTACTATAACAAAACATTTTAGATAAACAACTTATAAGGAGAAAAGGCTTACCTTAACTTAGTTTTGAAGGTTCCAGTCTAGAATCTGTTGGCTGCAGTACATTGGGATGGAAACAAAATCACTCCTACCATAGCCTGGGAAAAGAGAAGAACAAGAAGGACTGGGGTCCCAGTTTCCTCTTTAAGGCTTTACCCTGGTGCTCCAAAGACTTCCTTCTTGGCTCCACCCATTAAAGGTTCCACCACCCAACAGCATCACCAAGACTTTAAACAAGCACATAGGCCTTTGCAAGACATTCAATATCCAACCAATAGTATATATCACAACATTCTCATTGATCCTAAAATTCACTTTCTTTTGATTCTAAAAGAAAAAACACAATTTCATGGATCTCTAATTTTTTTATAGGCCCCCATGACTAGTGGATAAGTCAGCCCAAGCCTTGTGTGGCATACAGTTAATCAGGAAGGAAACCTTTCTTCTAGATGATATTCAGGCCTACTTGCTAGCATCATAATTAGAAGCTTCTGGAAGATCCAGCGATACCACCATCATTATAATGGGCACTAGCACAGACAAAACTACTTAAAGTGGTTCTGAGATCAACATATATAAACAAGGGAGAGATAAAGTAGTAGAAGATATTCAGGAGGGACATTTTCATGATGAATGTAGTGACAATGAGGGTTTTTTAAATTTTGAGATAATCAAGCTATTTCCTTTTTTAAAAAATTTTCTTTATTGAGATTAAGTGATTATATAAATTTCACAGTATTGTGGGATAGTGATACTTAGCTAAAGTTACAAACACATTTTAACCTTCACAAGGGGAATTGTCATTATCATGGTCTATGTTAACTAACATTCATTACTGTAGAGGACAAGTATCAATTTCCAAAAACCAGTACTCCACCTTCATCGTTTTATGTGGTTCTGGAAATGGAACTGAGGGCCTTATGCTTCCTAAGTACTGAGACATATCCTTAGTCCTTCCATTTCTAGTTTATTTTCACAAACAGTCTCAGCTAACTTTTCCAGGGTGGCCTTGAATCATTGTTATACTTTTAACTCTACCACCCAAGTATCCTGGATTACAGATGTATACCACCACTCTATTTCTTACTCCTCATTATTTCATTTTACTTTCAATTCAGCATTCAAATGAACTTATATTCCAGTTTTTATTGTTTTTTTCCAAATTCTTTATTTGATTAAGTGATTACATAAATTTCCCAAATTTCACAGTATTGTGGGATAGTGATGCTTAGTTAAAGTCACAAACACATTCTAACTTTCATGGGGCAAATTGTCTATCATGGTCTCTAACATTTATGAGTTCTATGAGCTTTGCCATACTGTTATTTCTTCCACATTGGATGGTATGTACATTTCTTTCGTTTTGCATAGCATCAGCTGTTCCCTCTTTATCACTTGTTCCCTCCCTCTTTATCACTTGTTCCCTCCCTCTTTATTGACATTTTATAGTATAGTCATGATTGATCAAATCACTAATCACATGATTAAAATGTCTCTAGCCCTGCTCACCACTCACCACTCCCAGCTTAAGTGATATTACAAAGCTCAAAGCCCCAAGCCCTTAATCATGCAATTAGTTTCCCTAGTATGAACGAACTCCAGCCTGTGTCACCTTCCTACTATAAACTCAAGTATGGTCCCAGGGGTGCTCACCATGAAAACAAAACACTCCTGTCACTTAGGAAATTCTAAGGGCTTAGTTTTCTCCCAGGAAACAGGGAGAAGACTAGAAAAAACTATTTAGTGTACAATAGTGTGTGAATAAGAGATACATGCATCTAGTGCACTTAAAGGAGTATATACATAGTAGGCATTCGGCAAATGGTACAATTAGCTTATACTACAAACTATGAAGGAAAGGTCCTTGTAGAACACCTGTGCAATCCAATAAAAACATTTTTATAATACCTATGAAAACATTTAGTACAGAATTTTGATAATGAGGTTGTCTTAGAAAATCTCTTTTAACTATCTTTAGTTTTATTTCCATATAAAGTTGGCATCAGGCTCTCTTTTCTTCCTTCCTTCCTTCCTTCTTTCCTTCCTTCCTTTTCTCTTTCTCTCTCTTTCTTTCTCCTTCCTTCCTTCCTTCCTTTCTTCCTTCCTTTCTTCCTTTCTTTCTTTTTTCTTTCTTTCTTTCTTTTCCTTTGTCACTGATGGGCCTGAACTCTGGGCCTGGGTTCTGTCCCTTAGTTCTTCAGCTCAAGGCTGGCACTCTACCACTTGAGCCACAGCACCACTTCCAATTTTTTCTGCTTATGTGGTCCTGAGGAATCAAACCCAGGGCCTCATGCATACAAGGCAAACATTCTACCACTGAGCCACATTCCTAGCCCTGGCTCTTCAAAATAAGGAAATTGTGAGAGGACCAGATGGAAAGAAAACAACTTCATTAATGATTATACTGAACTGACGATACATTTTATTTTTAATTGTAAATTCAGAACTCAAAGAGAGTTGAAAAACATATGTTCTTTGTGCGATTAAAAACATGTCCCAATATTACTGCTTCATTTGCTTGCTAAAGCTACTACCTGAGTGTATCATAATCCTCTTGAGAAAGCTCATGATCATGTTTTTAGCATTTTGAATGCTGACCTACATGACTAGTGATATTAAATAGCCTGTAAATCTGTATTAAGAGAAATAGAGCCAACAGGAAGTGCGTGTGTGTGTGTGTGTGTGTGTGTGTGTGTGTGTGTGTGTGTGTGTGTAGAACTTTGTTATAAGGAATTTCCTTCCTATTCCTTATGGAGGCTTGATGAAAGTTTAATCCAAAGCAAGTTGAAGATAAAAGAGTTGCAGTTTGAGTCCAAAGGCAGTCTGCTATAGACACAGTAAGAGCTAATATTGCAGAGGAAGTTCAAATGTGCTGTTCAGTTCAATATGCTAGAGAATTCCTTCTTGCCTGGGGAGAGGTGGAGCAAGGAGGTCAGTCTTTGGCTCTAGTCAGGCTGTCAATCACTGGATTTAGGTAAAGCCCACCATGTTGTAGATAGCAACGTGCTCTTCTCAAAGTCAAATAATTTAAAAATGGAAACACCCAGAATAATGACCAAATAATCTGAGTATCATGGCCCAGCCAAGCTGAAACAAAATTAGCTATCATAAAATTGTTATCTATAATGCACTACAATGATGTGGTCTGACATAAATAGTTCTTTTTTTGGTGGGGGGGGGGTCCGGTTGTGGGGCCTGAACTCTGGGCCTGGGCACTGTCCCTCAGCTCTTCAGCTCAAGGCTAGCGCTCTACCACTTGAGCCACAGTGCCACTTCCAGCTTTTTTCTTTTTGCTTATGTGGTGCTGGGGAATCGAACCCAGGGCCTCATGCATGCAAGGCAAGCACTCTACCACTGAGCCACCTTCCCAGCCCCTGACATAAATAGTTCTAATATATAAAAAAATGATTAGAAGAAAGTCTTATTGAAAAGCTGGGAGTGAAAAACCATACCTATAGTTCTAATTTCCCAGAAGGCAAAGGGTAGGAAATTCATGGTCCAAAGTCAGACTGGGTAAAGCATAAGATCGTATCTGGAAAATAAATTAAGAGCAAAAGGTCTTGGGGTATTGCTCAAGTGGTAAAGCACTTGCCTAATAAATGAGATCCTGAGTTTAATTCCCAGCACTGAGTAGAGAGATAGAGATAGAGAGAGAAAGGGGGGGGGACCAACTGTGGGTTATTGTATTAAGATGGTGGAATCAGGATCATTTATTATCTTTCCTGAACTTCTGGATTGAGGAAAGGCCTAATTCAGAAGAGTTGGGGATACTAGTAAACCTCAGTCTAAAACAACAGGGTACAGACTAAGGAACTCAGATATTCCTTAGACAGGTAGACCCATAGGTCCCAGCCAGAAAGATTCCTCTAACAGGTAAAGAAATTAGAACTCTGAAAGCTAGGGTCTCACCTGGAATTATAATATTCATCAGCCTCAAGAAGGAAAACAAAGGGAATAAGGAGAAACATGGAAGAAATGAGAAACTGTCAACAACCAACCTGTTACAATAGAGAAGTTTAGATTAGAAACTGGTCTACATAACTGAAGAAATTATTCTCATTTTACTTACTGAGTTTGCTAGATACACTGACTTTTCTATTTGCTCTTTTCCTAATCTTTTATGTATACATTTCCATTGCCTTTCAGGCTCCGATGGAAAATTAGATCCATTTTGTTAAATGAGAGAGCTTTTGTGAACTCTATTAAATCAGCCTCATAAATCAGCTTCCCTATTCCTTAACTATTGATTCTGCTCAGACCTGGACTCTCTCCCACTTATCTCCGTCTGGCATGGAATTATCCATGGCTGAACAGAGTGTCCTTGATTGTAGCAAGCCTGTGTTATCGCACATCCTCCCTCCTATCTTTCCTAATCTCTCTTAGCCCTTCCTCTCCATTCCTCCCTTCCAAGGTCCTCACTTGACTGGAACATGTTTTACACAGCACTTAGTGCTCTGTTGTGCCCCCCAGACAAGACTCTGGGCCAAATCTTATCTAGGCACTTCTCTTTGGCGCCTCCGTATTTGTCTGCAAATTTGGCAACTTCTTCCAGCAAGAGGGACCTATGATGGTGTACTCTTGACCCAGGAAATTCTCACAGAAAGTGGCATGAAAGTACAGCTCTGGAGGATCTGAAGGCTGGGATGTGGTGCTAATAGAGCTTTTATTTTAGGAAGGCCTCAAGGCTAAACTTGGATGTAACTATGAAGCTGGCAGAACTTACCTTCAGGCCCATCATGATCTTTCCTTCCAAGTTCACAGGCCTGTCAGTAAGATCCATCCAAATGTATATTTCATTAACTCTCAACCAATAATCAAAGGGCAAAAGACTTGAAGAGGTCATTAAAGAAGATAAAGAGCCACTGGGTGCCAGCAGCTCACTCCTGTAAATCCTAGCTACTCAGGAGGTTGAGATCTGAAGACTGTGGTTCAAAGCCAGGCAGGGACAGAAAAGTCCTCCTAAAACTCTTATGTCCAATTAACCACTAAAAAGACAACAACAAAAAACAAAAAAAACAGAAGTGGAGTTGTGGCTCAAAGTGGTACAGTGCTAGCCTTGAGCATAAAAGAGTTCAAGACAGTACCCAGGCCTTGAGTT